TAAATTAAACTGGCGACTCTTAGGACGTGGAAGGAAGCATTTTTTAACGATAAGGTTTGTTGTCCACACCAACGTTGCACAAATAAAACTGCCTTCTTTAACGAAGCAGGTTCAAAACAACATTTATTGATTTTACAAGATTCCGCAGGCCCTCTCGAAATCGTGACCTTCCCATGAGACGAGGGTCTGCGGAGGAGGCAGTCTCTGCGGCACTGGTGGAGTATGGTTGCTAAAACGCTGCGTTAGACCATCAATTTTACGTTCACCGCTCACCTTGGTCCGGTATAAAAGTTTACGTACGCAGAGTACCGACGAGAAACCACATATTTGCGGAAAATCTAATTCTCGAAGTAACTAAGTGTATCGAATGCCATATGGGAGGGAGAAAGTGTGCCACCACTTTTACGGAAAATACACGATTTCATCAGAAATTTCAATTTGGAAAAGGCCGACAACAGCCCAATTTGAGTATTGGAATATTCAGGAGGATCTGTGCCACCAGCGGAAAACTCTCATTACGGGTAACGGATAGACTGGTATAAAATCAGTCTCGTCACCTTTGCCATGCAGCGCAGGAGCAGATTCCCACACAGCAGTGGCGTGCAGTGCGCCACCCTGCATGTTCGTCAGGGGAGGCCCAGACAATTAATTATTCATTTATGTTCTTTTTCCGTAAGCAAAAGACCAGCCGACAATACGATATAAACTGAACAAAATGTTTTTGGAACTGTCAAACACAGACTAAAGTCTCAAACTGACTATTGACCACAGCCTAAACAGTAGTCGTTATTGCCTGGGGCTTTAATAAAGAGTTGACGAGAGTTGGCGGTCACGCATTGATACGGGAACATTTCAAGATTAACAAAATAAAAGTTTGATAAGTGGAGTCCAACTTCCAACCACATTTAACTTAAATATAATACATGATAGTGTTGAGAAAGCATTAAGAACAGCTAACCAAGGTCACGTGATTGCCAACTCTTTTGGTCATAGTTCCTCAACTTCCTCATTTGATCATAGTACTTCAACTTCCTCATTTGATCATAGTTCTTCAACTTCCTCATTTGATCATAGTTCCTCAACTTCCTCATTTGATCATAGTTAATAGATGGTTTGGAAACTCGTAAGAAAAACAGTACAACCATTATCTATGTTAGTCAACGTTTATTCATAAACGTATTTTAAATACGGTCCTTCACCGTCACGTGTGTATTGTATTTTTGCCGAATCCACCAATAGCAATTTCTAATTGACCTTATTGTTTTGACCTGGAAAAATTGGTATCTCAGGATCCTGAAGAAAATTTGCCTTAGCAACAAGATTGAGGAACATTTTGAATTTTTCACGCGTACTTTAAGGGAGAATTTTAAGGAATCATATTTAGTTATCTGCCATTTGAGTCTATTTTGAGATTACGAAGCGTTCTTCATGTACTATTTAAAAAACGAGCAGGAGTGTTTTATTAGGTTTAGACCTAATAAAACACTCCTGCTCGTTTTTTAAATGGCTTCAAAAACGTTTGCATAATAAGTCAAATCTTTATATAAAAATCTTGATATAAAAATCTTGATATAAAAATCTTTATATAGTTTGCATAACAATAGTCTTTTGTTAAAGTGTTCTTTAGCTGGTATAAAGACGTACGCACGTGACTAATTTCTTACTCAAGATTGGATAATTGCTTCATGAATTATTAATGAGTTTTTGAAATCCTGTAAATAGAATTTGAAGATTGTTTTGTTTGCTCAGCAATTTTACAACCAATATAATTGAGGAACATTTGAAAAAGGCAAATTCAGGATCCGACGAACATTGAACACTTTTTCCAGGTCTGATTCGAGTCACGGATAGGTAACTTTCCCAAAACATTGCTATTGGTTAGTTGGGCAAAAATACAATACGCACGTGACGGTGACGGATCAGATTTATGAATAAACGTTGCCCAACATAGATGAGTTGTATTGTTATTCTAATGAGCTTCCAAACCATATATTCTATTAACTATGGTTTGATCTGGGCTTAAGTATAAATCATATATTATACATGCAGTTGTTTCAATTAAATGTAAAGATTCGAAAAGAGTCCAACAGACGATAACGCTCTTGTTCTTCAAGCAGCCGATTATTTTGCTCTTTGATCAAGATGCTGTAATATGGCGAAAAGGCTTGATCAATCATTCACTAAGTGTGTAAAGTGTATACTTCTTTGAAAACCTTTTATCATTAGGAATAAGTTTATTTTTTCAATTTTATTGATCAATCGTAATCGATTGATAAAACCAGATGACGTCACTCTAATCAAGTGCGCCATCAAGTGTGACCTCATTAGTTATTTGTTGTATTAGCATATTATTAGCATAAATCATGATATGTATATAAGTAACCGAACTAGTATTAAAGTCAAGTTAGTAACACAACATGGTGGCAGCGGTGGGATCTTGTTACAGGGCTTGTAAATGAAGTAAGAGTGGAAGAGCGGTCGGTTGACGACTTAGAGGCGCCACTAACTTCTTACAAGACTCTAGTCCCTTGATTGCGTTAGAGATAGCCAGAATGGCATCTTTTCAAGTGCAGCCTCCGGAAAAATTTACGTTCAAGCCAGAAGATTGGTTGAAATGGAGTCGGAGATTTGAGCGATTTAGGATGGCGTCTGGTCTCGAGAAAGAAAGCGAAGAAAGCCAAGTTAATACCTTGATTTATTCAATGGGTAGCGAAGCGGACGAGATTGTGCAATCTCTCAGTATCGCTGAAGGCGACCAAAAGAAATACGATGTTGTTAAAAAGAAATTGGAAGATTTTTTCATCACCAAGAGAAATGTAATCTTTGAGCGAGCTAAGTTTAACTTGCGAAGTCAGCAGGAAGGAGAAACCGTCGACGTGTTTATTACGGACTTGTTCAACCTTGCAGAACATTGTAATTTCGGTGTTTTACGCGAAGAATTGATCCGTGACCGTATTGTTGTTGGAATTCGGGAATGGAATAATGTGTATCATTAAATTTACTTGGTAAAATCAATGAGGTGGAAAATTCTAAAGCACCAAAAGAAAGCAAATATAAGCAACAAATAATAGATCAATATCCCAAATTATTTAAGGGCTTAGGAGAGCTTGAAGGGGAATATGAGATAAAATTAAAAGAGTTGCCAGAACCTTTTGCTTTGAATGTGCCAAGGAAAGTACCTTTTCCAATGTTAGATAAAACCAAGAAAGAAATCGAGCGAATGTTAAAAATAGGCGTTATTTCCAAAGTAGATCAGCCAACAGTCTGGTGCGCCCCCATGGTAGTTACACCAAAACAAAATGGGGAGGTTCGAATATGTGTTGATCTGACCAAATTAAATAAAAGTGTTTTGAGAGAAGCGTATCCTCTCCCATCAGTTGATTTCACACTAGGGAAGTTATCAAAATCTAAGGTATTTTCAAAATTAGATGCAAATAGTGCCTTTTGGCAAAGAAAGCTCTCAGAATCCTCACGTTTACTAACTACATTCATTACACCTTGGGGACGATTCTGTTTTAATCGGCTTCCCATACGGCATTTCTACTGGAAGCGAGCAATTTCAGAAAAGCATGAATAACGTCTTAGAAGGGTTAAAAGGGGTCGAGTGTGAGATTGACGACTTATTAGTCCACGGAGAATCACAAGAGCAGCATGACTCTAGGTTGCATTCAGTTTTGCAGAGACTACAGGAGTCCAAACGTACTTTAAACAGGGATAAATGTGTATTTAGTGTCTCCACGATTAAGGCATTAGGTCATGTCATTTCATCTGAAGGGGTATCCCCAGACTCTGACAAAGTTAAAGCCATTTTAGATATTCCTGTACCTACAAATGTTGCCGAAGTAGATCTTTCATGGGTATGGTGAATCAATTTAATAAGTTTACAAGTCATCTCGCATCCAAATCAAAACCACTTAGAGATTTATTATGTAAAGATTCTGTTTGGTATTGGGGGGATAAGCAAAATGAGTCATTTAATGATCTAAAGAAATGTTTAATTTCTGTCCCAATTTTGGCTCTTTATGACCCAAACAAAGAAACTAAGATAAATGCAGACGCATCTTCTTACGGTATAGGAGGGGTAGTCTTGCAGAAACAAGAAAACAATGAGTGGAAACCCGTTTCTTACATTTCACGCGCACTTACAGATACAGAATCTAGATATAGTCAAATTGAAAAAGAATGCTTGGCATTCACGTGGGCGTGCGAGAGATCGAGTGATTATATTTTAGGAAAATCATTCTCAGGAGAAACTGATCACAAACCATTAGTACCATTACTGACCACCCATACCCTAGACCAAATACCACCACGAATCCAAAGGTTCAGAATGAGATTAATGAGATTCAACTTAGAGAAAATGACGCATGTACCTGGTAAACAAATGTACACTAGTGATGCCCTATCGAGATTGTTAAAACCATTCACTAAACCAGATTGTTGTACCGTGCCAGAAGACGACATGAATGCGTTTGTTGAAACTGTGATTAACTCGTTGCCTGTCTCAGATAAGAAACTGAAAGAAATTATCGAAGCTCAAGAAGAGGACGAAGTGTGCAAGAAAGTTAAGCAATACTGTCTCGAAGGATGGCCAGACAAACATATGGTTCCAGATGCTGTGAAGTCATATTGGAGAGAAAGAGGAGAACTTACGGTAGTCCAAAGCTTAATTATGAAAGGAACAAGAATATTGATCCCATCCTGTATGCGATTGAATGTCTTGGACAAGATTCACGAAGGACATTTGGGAATTACGAAGTGTCGAGAACGTGCAAAGCAGTCGGTATGGTG